CCCTCCTTGCAATAGAGACCTGCTTAGATGGAGGTCTGGACTCCACGGCCTCGTCAGAGTCTTCTTCCATTGACGGAAGTCTAGAAATGAGATTTTGTGCCGAGGTAACCGGCAGTCAGACACGGAGGCGGGGCAGGTGGGCTGGTCTAACCCAGCGGGCCATCACCTCCCTCCTTCGGTTGTTTTTAGGCGCTGGAGGACAGCATCGCAAACAGCACTCATCAATAATTCATTTCTTCTTTCTCTGTAAAGAAATACACTATTGCCAGCTCCTGATGTCGTGACAAGCAGTGCTGATGCGCGGAGCTGACCCCATCCCTAGCCAAAGCGACTGGAGCTCTGGCTGCCCTGTACCAAGTTATTTCACAGAGCGGCGTGCAATCCGCTGGGGTCCACAGACAGCAAAACCAGGCTGCAAATCCTCCACAAGCCCCCTTCCCACAATGGGGACCAGGATTCCAAGGATGGGAGCACAACTTATTAATCAATTTCAAACTCGATTTGTTTCTGAACTGGATAGTGGGCAGCAGGAGTGAATTTAAACTGCTCAGCAGCCCCCTGGTCACCTTTCATTACCTATGATACAAGGACTCAAGGAAGACAAGAACTAGAGGGCGTCCAGAACGGAGCACAGGGCACAGAATGGTCAAGGTAGGCCCCCTAGGGGTGTGCACCTGGAATTTAGCTCAACACCACTCAATGCCTTTGTGAACACACATTCTTCCAGTCAAACTTTTGATGCACCCCCCCCTCCCACCAGAGTACTGCTCCCATCTCCCTGGGCCCCATTCTCCAAGGTCAACTCTGGCCCTTGACACCCTGTGTTATAGCCTGAACTTGGGGACTCCCCGAATTCACACATCAGAGCGCTAACTCCCAATACCCCAGAATGGGACTGCATTTGCAGCCGGGTCTTTGAAGAGGGGGTTACGTTAGAATGCAGTCACTAAGGATCCCAATCTAGCAGGACGTCTATCTTTAGCAGCCAAGGACATCTGGACACAGACGTGTGCAGAGCCCTGACCACATGCAGGCCCAGGGCGAGGGCAGCATGGACCAGCTGAGGGGAGGAGCCTCAGCTGGAGCTCCCCACCGCAGAGATATCATGCCCTTGGACTCCCAACCCCCAGGCCTGTGAGACAATCCATGGCCACTGCATGAGCCACGAGGTCTGTGGCATGTGTCACGGCAGCCTCAGCCGACAAATGCACCCTAGGAAGCTGCAAACAGATGAAAACACCACCCGTTAGTTCAAAAGATGCGAACCACAGGCCAGCTTCCTCATCCAGTTAGATGCAGGCTCGGAGTGGGAGAACAAGACATTTGGTATAATTTAAGAGTCAGCGGAGTAAATTCTACTACTAACTGCATTTGTATTTGGATGTGCAAATTAAGTTACAACCATCCCTGCAGGAATGAGGCTATTACTGTCATTATTAGTAACAGCTTAGTGGCATTTTGTTGCATCAGCAAGGCCTTCTACCAAGCCCTACTGGAGACCAGCGAGGCTGTGAGGACTGGGAGTCTTGCCGGGGTGAGGGAGAGATGGGTCTGGAGCAGAGAACTGGGCAGAGAAGGTGGCAGGAAAATCCATGCCCGAGCGAGGGAGCTGGCAGAAGCCGCTCTCCCAGAGCCAGGAGCACTGCACAGCCCCGTCTCAGGCAGGCTTTGGGCTTTATCTTCTGCTCCATCAGACACCCACAGGAGGACCCAGCCAACGTCGGTAGTAATTTCCTCTCTCGACAGAGAACAGGCTAGAGAAGAGCTGTGTGTCTCCAGGGATGGAGGCGCAGACACAATCGCACTGTCGCCTGCTCCCTTGGTAAGGTACACACTATTCCAAGCGTGACCCTGTTGCATTACAATCTCCATCTGAATTCAGACACAAAATGCTTTCCTGTTTCATTTTCTCTGCTGTGTGCTATGCAAACTACAGACTGCAGTTTTCTCTCTGAAACCCAGGGCTCCCAGAGCAGACCTGAATGACTGCCGTGCCTTGCTTCTGCACCACCACCAATCTCCATTCCTGCACCCCAGAAACCCCAAGCACTCACAGCTCATCCTATACCCTTCTACATTCATCCTTTCAACACACACACAGTGCTGTGCCATCTGCACATCACAGGAACCCAAGACTGACCCTGCAGGACCTAGCTCAGGAAAATGCCTAGCAGCTTTCTGGACAGCCACAGAAACGAGCAAACATAAAACGCGGTTCACAGCTGACGGCAGCACGCATGCATCCTAGCATCAGGTAATGCCCATGTGGAAGCCAAGAACCAGATGCCATTTGAAGATGGGAGAGTCACTCCATCATTTTACTGGTATTTTAATTCTTCCCAAGATGTCCCTCTTGCTGCTCCTCCTTCTGTTGGAATCACTGCTCATCGTGGGTTTGAAGACGCACTCTGTACTGACCACCAGTTTCTGCAAGCAGGAGTCACACACGCTCTCTCCCTCACAGGCTTGCAGCACTTAAGGTGAGGTACTAAACCCAGACGTGTGAATTCTTCCCTGTACTCGCGATCCCAGGTGGATGAAGGCCGGGCCGGGAAGTGGGCCGTTCTAAGAAACAACAGTGGACCTAGGAACCTTGCAAGCAGCTCCTGTCACTCGCAGAAACCCAACTGCTGATCTCTGATCCAGCAAAAGTTCAATCATTTCACAATCCCAAACCACTAAGGAAAACACTTTTGGGGCCTGTCCCTGTGACCCAGTCCCTGGCCCAAATGGAAGCTCCCCCTCCTCTGGGCACCCCTGGCTGTCATGCCCTGTGCACCTTCCTGGAGAGGCATCCTGGGACTTCCCAGTAGATGAAACACTCCGAAGGCAGGGTTCCATCCCCCTGTGCTTGCCTGTTCCATGTGGGATTCCCACGGAGGTTCTTTCTCCTAAGGGCTGCTGGCAAAGACTGTCCAGTGAACCAATACGTCCCTGGAGCGCCCCCTGACTGTGAGACTGAGCAACAATGCGTGCCTGGAGCGCCCCCTGCCTGTGAGATTGAACAACAATACACGCCTGGAGCACCCCCTGCCTGTGAGATTGAACAACAATGCGTGCCTGGAGCACCCCCTGCCTGTGAGATTGAACAACAATGTGCCTGGAGCACCCCCTGCCTGTGAGATTGAACAACAATGTGCCTGGAGCATCCCCTGCCTGTGAGACTGAACAACAATGTTCCTGGAGCGCCCCCTGCCTGTGAGATTGAACAACAAGGTGCCTGGAGCGCCCCCTGCCTGTGAGATTGAACAACAATGTTCCTGGAGCACCCCCTGCCTGTGAGATTGAACAACAATGTTCCTGGAGCACCCCCTGCCTGTGAGACTGAACAACAAGGTGCCTGGAGCACCCCCTGCCTGTGAGATTGAACAACAATGTGCCTGGAGCACCCCCTGCCTGTGAGATTGAACAACAATGTTCCTGGAGCGCCCCCTGCCTGTGAGACTGAACAATACATGCCTGGAGCGCCCCCTGCCTGTGAGACTGAACAATACATGCCTGGAGCGCCCCCTGCCTGTGAGATTGAACAATACATGCCTGGAGCGCCTCCTGACTGTGAGACTGAACAACAATGTGTCTGGGGCGCCTCCTTCCTGTGAACCTAAGAAACAAGGAGGGCCCCTGCCTGAGACCATGAAAGGACGCATGCCTGAAGCCCCCCTGCCCCAGGAGACAATGAAGCAGTGCGTGCCTGCCTGCAGCACCCCCTGCCTGTGAGGCAAAACAATGCATTCTTGGAGTGTCCCCTGCCTCAGGAGACAATGAAACAATGGGTGCCTGGAACACCCCCTGCCTGTGAGATAGTGAAACGACTCGTGCCCCCCTCCTTCCTGTCCCAGGACATAAATGCTCTGGACAGCTGCTCTTTCCCTACAGAAGCCCAGAGGGACCTGTGCTCTGCTCCAGTTACATAACTGGCCCATGGCAAAGCCAGGAATGGACACCCAGGTTTCCTGACTCAAATCCCCAGCTCTCCCCACACTGTGCACATAATCTACACATCTTTCCCTCCTGGGCTCACACATGTGGAACCCTGGGCTCTGCACCTCCCTGGGGTACATCTCAGAGCACCCTTGTGTCCTGGGCCCTGGCATGGTTGGGGGCTGCAGGCTCCAGGACGCCCTCTGCAGGACAGAGTCCAGGCAAGCCTCAGGTCAGCTGGCTGTGAGCACCCACGTGTGGTCCCTGAACAGCTGAGCAGAGGCTTTCTCCTCACTCCCGCGCTTGCGTGCTGGACGGCTCTGCCCTGCACACCTGCGCCCCACCGGGCCTGGGCTCCGGTTCACATGGTCAGGGCTGAAAGCAGGAGGTGGGGAGTGGAGCTCCGTGCTCTGACTCATGCATCTGCTTCCCAGGAACCGCCTGGCCTTCAGCACGTGGTGTAACCGCTTCGTGCGCCGCGTACTATTCTGCGTAATGGAGACGGCTGACCCACCTCCCTCTGGCACGGTGCGAGCTGTCACTAAGGGCACGCACGTGGCAAGCACAGCCTGGAGCCCGCCCGCCCGTGGCTGCTGCTGCTGCCATTCTGACACAATTCTCCACCGTCAACCCGACTGCTCGGCTGGGCCGCCCACCATGTTGGCACCCACGGAGCCGACGTTTTTCCTCTCGGCTTTCAGAACCGTCGCACGATGCCCTGAACGCACAACACAGGCACACGGCTTACTGGTAGGGCCGGTGTCCCCTTCCTCACCAAACGGCAAGGTGAACGGCCGTGTTTGCACACCGCAGGCGGCACTCACCGGCAGCACCTCCAAAGAGCGGTGAATTAACGGCCCAAGTGCAGCCAATGGCCCGGTGCCGCGCTCAGGAAAACCGGGAGCGGCGGGCCCGCAAAGAGCCGGCTCAGTGGAGGGCCGAGGGTCTCCGCAAGCGGAGGGCGAGGGCGCCCTAGACGGCCGGGAGCACGACGCCCTCTACCCCAAGAACCCTTGGACCCCGGGCGGCTCCACCCCTTCCCGGAAGCGGGGTACGCGCGGCAGGCGCCAGCCTCTTACCACGAACTCGGCCAAAGTCTGGTAGGTCTTGCCCCGGAACTCGCAGTAGCTCTTCCTCTCCTTGCACTGTGGGCAGCACTGGCTCGTGTCGACGTGGATGCAGCGCGGGTGCAGCCGCGGGCACTCTGGCTGCGCGCACAGCGGCCCCTCCTCGGTGCAGAGGCACGGGCAGGCCGACGGGCCCGGCGCGAACTTCTCTCCGATGGCGTACACGAAGCCGCTCTCGTCCACGCATCCCTTGCCGCGGTAGTCCGGGTACGCGTACTCCTCGGGAGGCTCCGGCGTGGGCGCCAGGTCTGGGCTGGTGGCGTCCTGGGCGGCCGCGGCCAAGGGCTCCCCCTGCGGGGTGTCCCCGCGGGGCCGCACCTGCAGGTCCCCGGCCTTGGCGCCCCCGCCCTGGGCGGCCCAGGCCTGCTTCTGCCTGCTCCACGCCTCCCGGCCCGAGAGCCCGCGGCTGCTCTTGCTCCGCCAGTCCCGGCCGCTGCTGCCTTCGTCCCTCGCGGCGCGCCCGAGCTCGCTCACCCGCCCCGGGCCGTCCCGAGACGCGTGCTCGCGCTTCTCCTGGCCCGGCTGCTCCGGCGCCCGGGCCAGCTTCTCCAGCGGGATGCTCGGGCTACACAGAACCACCATCAGGCAGCAGGTGACCAGCAGGGAGCTGGAGAGAGCGCCAACTGCCATCGCAGTGGAGCTGGGCATCCCCTACCACGTCCCGGCGGGCGGGCGGGGAGCGCGGCCGAGGGGCGAGTCGCATTCACAGCCCGCGGGCGCGCCGCCGCCAGCCGGGAGCCGCCGTCCCTGCGGAGAGAACAGCAGCACAACTGAGCCCCGCGGCCCGCGCGCCCCGGCCCGCCGCGGCCCCCTCCCGGCCCGGCGCCGCCGGGCTCCCGCACCGCTGGGCTCCGGGGGCGGAGGCGGGGGCGGCCCGCCCGGAGTAGGCGCGCAGCCGGGGGCCTCGGCCATCCCGGATTTGGAGGAATGCGCTGGGAGCGACGTCCAGGGAGAAGCCTGGGCGGCGGAGCGTTCCCCCGGAGTGGCGGCTGGCCCTGGGGAGGGCCGGGCGCGGAGGGCGGGCCCGCGCCCCCGCGGAGCCCGCCCGGGAGCCACCCCGTGCGGGCACCCCCGCCCCGGTCCCGGCCGCCTTTCCCAGGGGTTAGCCAGTGCAGGGTTCCGCAGCGGAGTTGGAGACGGACGGACGTGCAGGGAGAGCGAAGTTCGCGCCTACCCTGGGGGTTTGTGCAGGGAAAGGGAGGGGACCCCGGGACTCCCGTCGTGGGCACAACTTCGCTAACGCCTTGGTCCCGGGAGACATGCCCCTTCCCCACTCCCCACGCCTGCGGCGCCTCCGCGGCAGTCGGAGTCTGGGATTCCCCAGGCTTCGGCTTCTCCGCCCCCTGCGCCCCCGGGTGGCCCCCGGTGGCGGACGCAGCGCTCAGTCGAGGCAGGGCTTCTACCGAGGAGGGGTCGTGGCGCTGGAGCACCGAGGGGTGCGCGCGGAGAGGCCCGGACTCGAGGAAGCGGGCGGGCGGCGGGCCCCTCTTTCTCCCCAGATCCCCGCCAGCCTCTCTGGATCCCAAAGTTTTTTCCGCCCAAAGGGGCCGAGAGGACCTCAGGCACCGCGAGGCGCGGGCCACCCAGCCTGTCCCCGCCTCGAGGCCCCAACACCGCTCTCCTGCTGCGCCCTCCCCTGCAGCCCCTCCATTTGGACCCGGGTCCTGTCCTCCCTCTGCTCGCTGGCCGCAGCCCGGCAGACCTTAAACTTGGGCCGGGGAACGGGGTCCCCTCGCTAGCAGCTGGGCGGCGCACCCTCTCCATGCACCCTCACCCCTGCGGACGGGCGCGCAGCCTACATACATGAGCGCGGGGCGCCGGCCGGACGCCAGACTCGCGGCGGGCGCGGCCCCGGGGCGCTGGCGCCCATCCTCCAGTGGCCGGGGACCCGCGCGCGGCGGACGGCGGGCAGCGCAGCCCCACCTGCGCGCTCCGCCCGGCGCGCGCTCCGGGCTAGGGCGTCTCCGGGCGCTCGCTCCTCACGCGTCCAGCGGCGGGTGGTCGCGGCCCCAGCTCGCGTCAGTGGCCGCGCTGCCCTGCGCAGCTCATCCCAGGGTCTGCGGCCCCGCGTCTCGGCCACGAAGTGCGCCCTGGGGAGCGCCCGGGCCCCGCCTCGCTCCTCTCCGCGGGTCTCGGGGAGCTTTCCAGGCCAGGCGGCCGCGGCGCGTCGGACGGAGAACAGATACCCGGAGCGCGGCCGGCGGGCGAATGGCACAGGCCGGCGTGGAGCCAGCGCGCCGCCTCCCGCCTCCTCCTGCCGCAGCCGCCTCCCGCGCGCTGGGCGCCCCGCGCGTTCCTCGGCTGCCCCCGTTCGGCCGCGGAGCCGCGGCGGCCGTGCTGGCCCGGGGCGGAGGGACCTCGCGGGCGCCCGAGCCACCTGCCAGGGGCGCGCGCGGCCGCCCCAGCCCCGCCTGCCGCCGTCCTCCCGGCTCCTCACCCGGCCTCCGCCGGACCTTGCATCCTGGCCTTTTCCAGGTTTTTTTTTCCCCTTTAATTTCTTCCTCCCTGATTGGCCCCCTCGGGCTTTGCTCTCTGGGGACAGACAGGTTCGTTTTGCCGCTGTCCGGAAATCTAAACCAAATGGTGCTGGGTTTGAGATTCGGGGGCCGCGTGAGCTGCGCAGACGCTTGGGGGCTTTTGCCCGTTTCGGTCGGGAAAGCTGGAGGTGAGGGCGCGCGGCGCGAGGAACTCAGAGACACACAGACGGCGCGGCCGCGTCCTTCCCTTCCCCTCCCTCCTGCTCTCTCCCACCACAGGCGTCTGGGATTCGCTTTGATGGAAGGCCGCGCCGTCCAGCGGGAGCCCCCGCTTGCATCTTGACCCAGGAATGGCTTCTTTCCTAGGACACAGGGAGAAACGTCCACTGTCTCCGTACCAGTGAGCCCTGAAATGGGATTCTCATCTTTGAACCCCTGGAAACGCGCGGGTGTGGGACCCACAGTCCAACCTTGGGTGGGGGCTCTACTGAGGGCGGGGGTCCACTCGCTGCCCCCGGCCCCCGCCCCCTTTAGGAAACCTGGGTCAGGTGCAGAGCTCCTGGGAAAAGCGAGGCAGCAGATCACCCGGCCAGCTGGGGCGTGGACGGTCCCATGGCCTGATGCCTTGAGCCTTGTGCCTTTGCTCCCTCCTCTCTCCCTGCTGTCACGCCTAGGAAAGAGCCAGGCCACTCTGGCCCGTGGGCTGATGGCAGCCCGGCCATCAGCTGCCCGGTGCTTTCCTGCTTCTGGTCATACGTGCTGCCTCTGCTGCAGATGCCACAGAGTCCCAAGGCCCCGGAAGGCACCTGGGGGTCAGGGTGGCTGCGCACACACGCTGGCCACTGGACGCTCAGCGGTGTCTTGTGACCAGTCAGGCACTGTTATGGGATCTGGGCAGCTAGGCTGGGGTTACTTTTTCTCTTTTGCTGTTTGTTTTACTGACTACTTCCATCCTGGTCATTAACTACCCTGCTTGCACTGTTTTGCTCACAAGCAGTCACAGGATTGCTGTGGAGCAGCCCCAGACAGATGTGACTAAGGATAGTCACAGCATCCTGTGTGAAAGGCCCTCTTTCTAGCTGGGAAATTGGCTGGGGTCTCATCGAGGGAATCCTGGTGTCCTGCGGTCCATCCCACCTCCGTCACAAGTCCCCAGAGCCAAGGACCAGCCTCCTGGTCCCAGTGCAGGGCCCTGCATCTCAGCTCCCTACGTCTGCAAGAAAAGGCCTGACCAAACTGGGGGTTTGTTATGCAACCAAGTGTCCCCATGTGCTCCTCTGTCAGGTACTCCCAGAGATGGCGAGAGGCGGGAGAGAGGACAGCATGGTCAGGGTGTCTGTCCTGAGCACAGGAGAGCAGCGCCGCACCAGTGAGGCTTCTAGAAAATGCAGCACACTCTGCAGGCCTTGGGGTGATTCACAGATTCTTTACTGTCAGTGCAGTAGTGCTGCCTCCGCCCTCCCTCTCCTCTCTTTCCTGGCCTTCAAGTTGCAGAGCGCTCTCTGGTCAGGGACTGGGGTGATGTGGGTCCCACTGGAGCTCCATCAGCCCCAGCTGTGCCGCACTGCGGAGCTGGCCTTTCTCGTCTTACAGGGAAGAGAGCCCTTCCTGAGATGGTTGGAACCCAAAGTGCTCTGGGAACCTGGCACATGTCTGTATCTCAGTTTATTCCCAGGTGGGCAGGAGTTAGACCCATCAGCTCAAGCCAGGCGGAGGGTAATGCCTGGCCTCAGGGTGATCCTCAGGGGTGGCCTTTAGGGCGGGCCCCGGGCAGATTCAAGTTCACCTTTCATATCGCCTTAGGCAGAACTGATCTCCCCTTCCTTGTCGGTGCCCCAGCACGGTTCCTGTCTCTGTAGCAGGCAGCATTTCCATACCTCTGGGGAGAGCCACTGTCTAAAGTGCTGGGTTCCTGGGTCTGCACTTAGAGCCCAGAGCCCTAACAGGTCCTAGTGAGGAGGGAGGGAGTACGCAGAGAGGGAAGCAGGAGGAAACAGTGGGGGGCAGGGGAGGGAGGGGAAGAGACCAAAGGGGAAGGGGGGAGGAGGCAGGGTGGCTGCTTGTGCTGACAGGTGCCTTCATTAAATTCTCACCTTCTGCAAAACCGCCATCCACTTGGATTCTGGACGTGGACCCAGGAAGGAAGTAGCGTCAAAGTGTCCCCTCTCGGGGTTAGGGGTGTAACAGCCACGTCCACCTGAAGTCAAGGCCAGCAGACTTCTGTGGTTTGGGAAGGGGACTGACCACTGACCAGTGCATGAGTGGAGGAGCCATCGTGGCTGCACAGGTGGATTTTTATGGCCGTGCGCAGAGCAGGCCCGGCAGTTAAGGGAGCTCCAGGGGAGGCCACCAGTCAGCAGGGCAGGCGGCCGTCACTGCTTACCCTGTTGATGCTCGCCTCGGGTTGAGCATTGCTGTTCCCCGGGCTGCCCTGCGGCACACGCTGCCAGGGTACTACACGCCTGGGGGACTCCTTGCTTCTGCTGTGCTGCCAAAGGCCGGCAGCAGCCGCTCCGATGGCTGACAGGGAGGTTTTCCTCTGAAGGCAGCCACAGAAGCTTGCTCCTTGCGCGGAGGTTTCCAGGGATCGTTTTGAATACACTGTCAAGTCATCCGCTGTGCCAGCATCACAAACCACAGCAATTCTGATGCGTGAAAAGCCTCGGAAACAATTTTTATGAAACAGGGGCCAATCCAGGTTTACTGGTCCAAGGAGGCAGGATGGATCCTGCCCAGAATTGTCAGGGATGCTGACAGTGCCCGGCTGCTCTCGCAGGGGACGCTGCATTGCTAAGGGCTTGTTTGCATCTGTGTGGCTGCACACCGGAGGTCTCTGGCAGGTGCTGGCTGCCACGCAGACATGCAGGAGGAGGGTTTTCCTTGGGGTTGACAAATACAGCCTGGAGTCCACTCTAGAATCCTTTTGAGGTGGAACCGGTCTTCTCCTTACTGCCTCTCTGTCCTTTGGCCTTCCCAGGAGCCAGAGTCGGAGGCTTGGCTTTGGTACTGTGGCCTCAGGGCCCCCACAGTGGGCTGTGCAGGGGGTACCTTGCTCGACAGAGCACGTGGAGTGCCAGGAAAGAAGAGGGTGCTTCCAGGTGGCCTGAGGACTGGGGGTAGCATTGTGACTTTAGTGAAGAATCAGGCCATGTGTCTATCTGGAATGACTTCTCTTGCTGTCCCCAGAATGGCTTCCAGAACTTTCCATGGTATGCAAAGAAGATTTCGGAATCCTCCTGGCATCCCAATGCCCTCTTAGCTGCAGGAGTGATGGTGGAACCAAAGGATGGGGGTACGGAGATGGGGGTACATTTACATTCTGTAAACAGCTAGGCAGGAACCTGCTGCCCGGAGACTGCATGAGCCTGACACAGGCTTCACTGTGGTCTGGGACGACGAGCTCATGCACCACGATAACCGCGGGTCACGGCCACCAGGAGGTGAGCCCTTGCCTCAAGCTACGTCTGCATGGAATTCAACTCTGGGAACCTCAACATGCATCTATCTCATGGGAACAAGGGAAGAAACAGGCATTGTAAGTTGGAGGTTAAAAAAGGTATCAACTGTGGAGAAAACTGTCAGTGGATGGCGCTTAAACCATGGAAACCGAGGACCACCAAAGAGAAATGTGCAGTTTCTAAGGGACGCAGGATCGTTTCAGTGGCGCTGTCTCAGGAGCAACGGAAGGGCCCCTCGTGCCCAGGGAGTCTTCCCTGGTACCCGCTGCTCTGGGGCCTTCTCAGCGGGGTGGTGGGCTGGCTGGGTGGGCAGGGTTGACCCACCAAGCTGTTTATGAAGCTTTCAAGGGCCTCTCTTTATTTTCAAATCTAAGCTTCTTAGCACGTAAAAGGTGGCGTTGCTTCTAAGTCATCCCTCAGAATCCACAGAAAATGGTTTCTTGCCCCCATCCCCGTCCCGGGATACAAAATCCATGGACGCTCAAGTCCTTTGTTTAAGACGGTGTGGAATTTGCACACGGCCTACACATCTCCTCGTGTGGGCTGTAAGTCATCGCTAGGTTGCTTGTGAGCCCTAATGCCACGTGAGTTCTATGTAAAGATACTACATTACCATAGTTCAGGGAGCAGTGACAGGAGAAGCAGTCTGTGTGTGCTCAGAGCAGGTGCAGTTATTTGTTCCCTAACATGTAAAAAATTGTGTGTGTGTGTGGTGAGAGAGAGAGAGAGAGAGAGAGAGAGAGAGAGACAATTTTTCATCCTCCTCTTCAGTCCCCAAATGCCCACAATGGCAGGACTGGGCCGGGCTGCAGCTGGGAGTTGGGAACTGATTCCAGGTCTCCCACATGGGTGGCAGGGACCCAGCCACTTGAACCACCACCTGCTGCTCTCAGGGTTCACACGAGCAGGAATCAGGAGCAGAGGCAGGACTCGAACCCAGGCGCTCTGACTTGGGACACCGGCAGCTTCTCCTGCCCCTCCT